AAGGTCAAAGGTCACTTTGACTTCAAACACATTTTTGGCCATAACTCAATACTGATAATATTACTGGAAAGAATTAGAATAAACTGAAAACTTTTTTTTTTCCCCTCTGGAACGACGCTCCACTACGTTTATTCTCCAGAGGAAATAAAATATCTACAGTCACATGATCACGTTTTATTTTCTCCTGCAGTTTCATTGCAAAAAAAAAACAAAAAACGTCTAAATACATCTCAACTTTTTAGAAAAAGCTGCTGTGAAATCAGGTGTTTTAGCTGCAACAATCCTAAAAAAGGCCTGTGAAATCCTGCTGGGACTTTTCCTCACTGCTAGAAATATAAACCAATATGTGTTTTCTCACTACTTAGTCTAATGTGTGTGTGTGTGTGTGTGTTGCAGATGAGCAGAGTCACACTCTGAGGGATGCCGAGGCGGAGGTGTTGTTTGGCTTCAGTCTGGAGGAGTCACTGAAGAGAGCCCACGGTGCTCCGCTCTTCAAGGTCAGACCACGACTTCACGCCTTCAGTTCTCCTCTGGTTTTACACTGGAGCTCACGCAGCCTGTCGCTCACTGACTGACTGTTTGTTGTGATGGATGTTGTAGGGGAAGTACTTCTACCTCACCCCCGGGATCTGCCCCAGCCTCAGCACCATGAAGTCCATCCTGGAGAGCGCTGGAGGAAAGCTGCTGGCCAAACAGCCGTCCTACAGGAAGATCATGGAGCACAAACAGAACAAGGTCCTTAAAGTCCGTCTGCAGACATGTGATATGATTCATATTTTCTTTAACTTGGTTTCCACACAAAAGGTGAAAAAAAGGAGGGAAAACTGGGGCTGAAGCACGTCTATCAGAACAGTTAGCATCTTTTATTTGTTTATGTTGTTTGTTTCAATAAAGTTAGGTCAGTGTGAGACTGTTATTATTACTGATGCAATGTGATACTGATGATAATGATAACCTTTATTTTCTTATCAGGTTTCAAAGTCAAACAAACTCATTAATAAGCTTCAGTCTTGATAAAGTCTTGACACCTAAAAATAAAAACAAAGTCTGACGTTATTGTTACTAACTGCATCCTGGTCTTTTGTTGCAGAACCTTCCGGAAATCATCTTAATTTCCTGTGACAACGACCTCCACCTCCTCAGAGAGTACTTCTTGAAAAACATTGGTAACACACACACACACACACACACACACACACACACAAACACACAGTTAGTTTCTATTGAACTCTACTGAGTCCTTCTGACCTCTGTCGGCCTCCTGCAGGTGAGGAAACACCTGGACTCACTGTGTCGCAGCTTCAGTCTCAGTCGATCTTCTGTTGAAGTGACAAAGAGTCACTGAGTCACACACTGTCCCATCTTCACCGTACCAGATACATGTTACATATATGTACACGTGACCTCAGTATTAAAGGGACAGTTCTGGTTTTTTGGCGTGTTGTAATGTGAGGTCGTCACATACAGTCGGTACATCACCTGCAGTAGATCATGATGAGTGGTGTCTGTTAGGAAGCCGACCCACCGACAGTGTCAGAGCGATGTGCTGCTGTGGGCGGGGCCACAAGGAAAAACCTGTTTTAGACACTTTTAAAAACGGCCACTTAAACAATCCAACATTTGTTTAAATGAAGCTTCATGTGGAATATTTTCAGTGGTTTATCTTCCTGTGAAAACAGCAATTTTCCTTTGGCACTACATTTTTTTTTTTCAACCGCTGAACTACCGTATTCCTACGCTCAGGCACCTACGGAGCACGCTGTATTACGCCGCGGCCGCAGGTCAGCTGAATGAAGCAGAAAGCGGCGCTCCGTCGAAGCGCTTGAGCGTAGGAACACGGGAGTCCAGCTGTTTTCACGAGACAAAAAACGGCTGAAAACCTTCTACATGAAGCTTCATTTAAACGGATGTTGGATTGTTCGGATGGGTGTTTTTAAAAGTTCGGATGGAGGCCGTGACGGAGCGAAGAGTAAACCTTCAGCTTGTGACGTTCCAGTTGATCTTGTGCTGATGTTGTCTGTCGTCTCTTTGTCCAGATGTCCACAACGCTGAGTTCATCCTGACCGGAGTTCTGACCCAGAAACTGGACTATGACTCATATCCTTTTTCAGCCAATGGCAGCTTCTGACACTGACGTGTGATTTCTCTGCGCTGTTGTTATTAAAGATATGATTTGTGAAGATGTTCAGACACAGTCAGAGTCGGGACAGTTCATGTTCTCAGGTCGTCCTGTTGCTCCGAATCTGGTACAAACGCTCTCCCGGATTCTTGGCGGTCAGAGGTCAAAGGTCACTGAGTTTCAATCTGAGCAGCTCTACATCAATCAGTATAGAAAGAACATTGTACCAGCGCACAACATCATTTATTATAAATATGTGGTTAATTGTCTTCTTCCTTTAAATATAAAATATTATACATTTATACTTTATATTTCCTCTTCTGATGCTGTCATGGTGGATGAACTAATGTTACCATGGTAACAATCAAGTGACACTTGCGCTGTCCAGTAGCACTGAACAACAAAAAACAGGAAAACCTGGCTCATAAATTGTGGTTTGCTGACATTGTTATGGAGAGAGCGAAGAGAAGAGAGTTTTTAGAAATTAAAATCAGGTTTTTCTTTTTATTGTTTCACTCTTTGTTGAATTTTCAAAATAAAACGTCCTCGTAACTGTTGAATTCCTCTTAAAGAAACATTTTCTGCTGCGGAAAAAAAGTCTTAATTTACCCAGAATTCATTGTACCACAGTCAGATTAAGATAATCAAGAACTAACCGAAGCAGCAGAGTGACCAGTGTCCTCACTTCCTGTTTACAGTGTTTGTGGATGTAGTACAGACCACTGCTGCGGTCGTTAGTCATGTGACATCCGCTACAGAGTCCGGTTCATCACGTGGCTGATGATGCTCACAGGTGTTGATTCACCTGGACGATCAGGCACAGGATGCAGTTTGCTGTAGAACCGCGTCACTGTGGTGAACAGCTGCAGAAACAGTCACTTTCCTTGACAGTCACACATATAAATTCACTTGATGGCGAAGCGACGACGGCCGGAGGAGGAGGAGACGATGACCCCCCCCCCCCCTGTACAGTCCAGCCACACTGACTTTTCTATGTTTTTATTTCTGTGCATAGATCCGAGTCATTTTGTAGCCTTTTGTTACCTGTTGGAGAATAAATAAATAAATAAATAAATGGATGTTATTTTTGTGAATGTTTACATTATGGAAGATTTTAACCTTTTTCCTGTTGTTCTGATAGAATGTGTAAAAGCGTCAGCTGCTTTTTGAATAAAACTGTACATTTGTTTGTGAAGTGTCCTCGTCTTTCTCATCGTGTTGTGGTCTTCGGGATATCTGATGTGTCCTCAGGTGAGAGCTGGAGTCTGGAGGTTCAGCAGCTGAGCTTTTGTCCACAGGTCAAACAATCACCTCCCTCGTTCGTGTCGGAGAGAAGGACGTTTGAGAACAAAAGCTCCGTCTCAGCTTCTCGTCACTGGAGCTTTTTCTTGAAGGTATTCCTCCCAGGTTTCTGCAGATAATTCCTGATAGATTTGATTTAATTAACTGTTAATGAGGGTCTGGGGTAGTTACTGGTGAAGTCCTAATTGGTGGCTGTCAGACAGATAGCCCGGGGTCATGTGTGGGTGGGGGTGCCGGGTAGGAGGGGGGGTGCGCAGCGTCGCCTGCGGTACTGCCCTCAAAACTACAGCAGACTGAATTAGACACAGCCTGAGCCAAGGTCATGTGCTACATATTCCACGTGTCTGTCTCTGTTTACACGAGCACGAGACGGGACGTTCGCTGCGTTCACCTGAACGTCTCGGGGCTGTTCTGTCGAACAGAACCAGAACTCCACCTCAGAGCGGGGTCGACCCGGACGGAGCTTCACAGACGTTTCTGTTCCTTCCAGGAACCGCAGCAGGGAGCGTCTCTGTTCAGCCCCGGTGTGAAACCTGAGCCGGGTTCACACAGAGGCTGCGACCTGCTGCTGACTGACGTTTCACTGAAAACCCACGTCAGTGTCTGAGAGACTGTTGGATCAGTCCCTGAATGCAACTGTAGGGTCTTGTCTTACTCAGTTACCCCACAGTTACCCCACAGTTACCCCACGCTGGAGGAGTAATACCTGCTGCCGTGGTCCTCACGCTGGAGGAAGGATAACAGAGGCTCTGAGACATGAAGCCGTGAACCTGTAGAGACAGAATCAAGGGAATATTCCCCTTAAAACAAGTTTGTCAGTTTATTGGAACATCCTGTATGAAGTCTCTGAGCTGCTGTGGTGTGACAGGTGCGGTCTTTAAGGGCTCGTCACTGACGCTTTGAATCTTTGTTCGGCACAAAAACAAAAACACAAACCAGGAGAAATAGAGTGCTGCTCCTCCCACAGAGGCCACATGATGGCCCCTTCATTGACCCCCAGTTCACAACCTGATGTCCCAAAGGTTTTTATGAACGTCCTATGATCCCTGAAGCATCAGTAAAGGATGTGTGGCCCCTTTCTTAAACCCCTCACTGTAACATGTAGGGAGAAGGCAGATGTTTAACATCTGGAGTCTGTAGTTCAGTCCAGCAGACCCAGCGAGGAATATATGATAAGATCATAAACAGTTAAGGTTTTAAAGAACTCCTCATCAACGTGACTGTAGAAGTGAAGATGCTCCAGAGGTGATCCAGATGTTGTTAGTGTGACAGCTGCTGATCAGACGTCTGGCGTCCTGCCTGCTGCCCATGTGCTTTTCATGATGGCATCATCAGATAAATGAAGAAATCCACACAAGCAAGAAAATCTCCGAGCACACACACACACACACAATTTGGGCAATCCTAATTAATTCCAATTAGAAATGCAAATAAGGAGGCTCATCTTTGATTAAGCAGCAGTCAGGCTCCTTGTTGGTTTGTGATGTCCTCCTCTGACGCAGCCCAGTTGTGGGGAGAAGGAAGGAAAAAAGTATTGGGACACAGAAACTGTTGTAATTAATTAATGTAATTAATGCTTCGTGTGAGATATTTCTAATTAGTCCCCAGTCCCTCCCTTTCCTGCATCAGACACAGTTTTGGCCTGTTCCACAGGATGCAGAGGAATTACAGACTAATTACACAGAGACGGGCACTGGGATTCATCTGGCCCCGCAATTTACATATGAGCTAATTAGCATATGATGGAACTAATGACTAATAATTTAGCCAATTACAGGGCTGGGCTCGCTCAGTGCACGTTTGGAAAGAGGAGGCCTCATAAAAATGTCTTGTTCCAGACGAGACAAAGAGGAGAGCGGGACCGGCTCCAGGTCCAGGTCGACTGAGCTGCTCCCTGGACCAGCAGGAGGTCAGGGCGTCCTCAGCGGACCTTGAGGCGAGTCAGTGTTTCTCATTCACTCCACAGACACAGTGTTTCAAACAGTCACTGCCCCTCTGTCACAGACTGGATCCTGGATCGGGACTGAGAGCGAGGGCGTAGGTTTGGTCTCAACATTAGTAGAGACGCAACAATCCCACCACCCCTCCAAAACAAAGAGACTGACTTTTTAATGCCATCAACCAAACGGTTCATTGACATATACGATCTGGATTTAGATTCATCCAATGTCCATATGCAATTGTAATATATGTAGATGTGGTGAATTTCATATATAAGATATATGTACACATGATGTAAAATCATATATGTATTTTATATACAGTATATGTATGTAAAGATTACACATGAAACCTGTTTCAATTGGAACAATATCATATATTGACATATAGCAAATAGAAACATGTATTTTAGTATGTCTGTTTATATTATAGGTTTACAGTATATTATACACGTTACATGAATGTATATCCATCTCAAAGCCTGTTAGTATATGTTCATATTGTGTATGTATGTATGTATATATATATATATATATATAAACGATAGACATTTTAATGAGAAACAATTAAGAATATACAAACATCAAATTTTAATAATGATATTTTAATGACCTTGCATTGCAATAGGAATATTTCATATATATTATGAACTTATATCTTCCTATATCCTCTTATAAGTGACACATATGGTAACATCTCTCTTGACATAGTGACATATATTTAATATATATGTCATAAGTCAGAGCAGAGTAAGGCCTGAAAACATCAAGTATAGTAAGGCATAAAAATGTCATAAGAACATCATAGTAAAGTACTTTCTCTCTCTCGGCCGCTCTGATTAGTTTGTATAACTCGAGTAATCTTGTGATTCAGTGATCTACTCTGTGTTGTATCTGTACTAACTCTTTGTTCTCCTGTGCTTCAGAAGAATTCCTGATTTGTGGGCTGCTGATCCTGCCACACTCAGCTGTTGCCACGCCAAACCACCCACTTTCTTTTGGTCTTCAGCCTTCCCTCGTGTTTTTCAGAGTGTGGTTACTCCCCAGACACCTGGATTCCCCAGACTCACTTCCCCTCCACACTGAACATCAATATTACTTTCAAACCAATTACCTCCCTTGCACTGTTATTGTTTTATGTTCTGTCTCTGCTCTGGGGTCCAACTTCAGTTCTGAAAAAAGAGTTGTACATAAAACATCATAGTATGGTAAGACATAAAAAGTCATATTATAGTGAAGCATAAGAAGTGTTAAAAAAAACGTCATAATATAATAAGGCATGAAAAGTCATAATATTAAGGCATAAAAAGTCACAGAAAAGTCAAGAGGCATAAAAATGTCATAGTATAGTAAGTCATAAAAACGTCATAGTATAGTAAGGCATAAAAACGTCATAGTATAGCAAGGCATAAAAATGTCATTGTATAGTAAGGCATAAAAACGTCGCAGTATAGTAAGATATAAAAAGTCATAAAAACTACATAGTATAGTAAGGCATAAAAATGTCATAGTATAGTAAGGCATAAAAACATCATTGTATAGTAAGGCATCAAAAGTCTTTGTATAGTAAGGCAAAAAAATCATAAAAACGTCATAGTATAGTAAGGCATAAAAACGTCATAGTATAGTAAGGCATCAAAAGTCATAGTATAGTAAGGCATCAAAAGTCATAGTATAGTAAGGCATCAAAAGTCATAAAAACATCATAGTATAGTAAGGCATAAAAAGTCATAAAAACGTCATAGTATAGTAAGGCATCAAAAGTCATAAAAACGTCACAGTATAGTAAGTCATAAAAATGTCATAGTATAGTAAGGCATAAAAGCATCATAGTATAGTAAGGCATAAAAACATCATTGTATAGTAAGGCATAAAAAGTCATAAAAACGTCACAGTATAGTAAGTCATAAAAACGTCATAGTATAGTGAGGCATAGAAAGTCATAAAAACGTCATAGTATAGTAAGTCATAAAAATGTCATAGTATAGTAAGGCATAAAAACATCATTGTATAGTAAGGCATAAAAAGTCATTAAAACGTCATAGTATAGTAAGGCATAAAAAGTCATGAAAACGTCATAGTATAGTAAGGCATAAAAATGTCATTGTATAGTAAGGCATAAAAAGTCATAAAAACGTCATAGTATAGTAAGGCATAAAAAGTCATATAAACGTCATAGTATAGTAAGTCATAAAAACGTCATAGTGTAGTATGGCATAAAAAGTCATAAAAACGTCAGAGTATAGCAAGGCATAAAAAGTCATAAATACGGCATCATATTGTAATGCATCAAAAGTCATAGTATAGTAAGGCATAAAAAGTCATATTATAGTAAGTCATAAAAATATCATAGTATAGTAAGGCATAAAACGTCATAAAAACGACATACTATAGTAAGGCATAAAAAGTCATAAAAACGTCGTAGTATAGTAAGTCATAAAAAGTCAGAGTATAGTAAGGCATAAAAAGTCATATTGTAGTAAGGCATATAAACTTCATAGTATAATAAGGTATGAAAAGTCATAAAAACGTCATAGTATAGTAAGGCATACAAAGTCATAGTATCGTAAGGTATAAAAAGTCATAAAAAAGTCATAGTACAGTAAGGCATAAAAAGTCATAGTATAGTAAG